GGCGCCGAGCTGGCACCGTGCCCTGGCAGCGGAGCCGCCCGAGGTGGCCCTGGGCGAGCGGCTCCTGCCAGCCGAGGTGGCCGCAGCCCAAAGCCGCGGGGCTGGAGCAAAGCTCGGCCCGTGGAGACTCGGGGCTCTGGCTGCCTGCCCGGCGCTGGCAGCAGAAAGTTCTCCCCGGCAGTTTTSCTCCGTGGAAGGGATGCAGGGAACGCTGGGTGACACGGGCAGGGTGGGACCCGGCTGCTCTGGGACGGGATTTCTGCACCAGGGACAGAGTGAGAAGTCCAAAATTGCAGCACCACGGGATATCAGAATCCCTGAGGCTGGAAAAGCTCTCCAAGGTCACCGAGTCCAACCTGTGACTGATCCCCACCTTGGCACCGAGTGCCACCTCCAGGAATTCCTGGCACACCTTCAGGGATGGGGACTCCAAACCTCCCTGGGCAGGAATAAATTCCTGTATTTAACAACCCTTTCCATGGGGAAATTCCTGCTGATGTCCCTGCCCAGCCTGAGGCCGTTCCCTCTCCTCCTCTCCCTGTTCCCTGGGATCAGATCCCAAATCCCCCCCGGCTGTCCCCCTCCTGTCAGGGAGTTGTGCAGAGCCCCAGATCCTCCCTGATCCCACTTTTCTCCAGGCTGAGCCCCTTTTAAGCCTCCTCAGGATCCTCCAGCCCCTTCCCATCCCCCTCAGGATCCTCCAGCCCCTTCCCCATCCCCCTCAGGATCCCCCAACCCCTTCCCAGCCCATTCCCTCCCCTGAACACCCCCAGCCCCTCGATGAGGTGACAATTCCGTCACAGCCTCTCCTCTGCCTCCCGACAGGACCGTGGGTGGCCGCAGCAGCAGAAGTGACCGCCGGGCCCCGGTGCGGCCTCCCCGCCCCCCCAGGTATGCCTTGTGGCTCTGGGCAGCTCCCATGGCGTTCCTGTCCCGGTTCTACCGGAGCAGCAGCCGCTCCCCGAGCCGGGCCCCSCGGGACGAGCGCGGGAGCCGCCCCATCCTCAGCGTCTTCGAGCTGGAGCGGCTGCTCTACACCGGCAAAACCGCCTGCAACCACGC